ACAAGTTTAAAACACTGGCCAAATAAAAAAACAACTAGTTTAAAACAAAAAAAATAGTTCCCTCCATTCTATCGCTGATATCTTATTTTCTTTCCAACAAAACTCTTTTCATGCTAAAGGAAAATTAACAGAATCAAAAGAAAGCAAAGCAAACATTAAACTTGCTACAAAAAGAAGTACCAATGCAGCCTTTTCAAAGGTCTCAGTCAGACCAGGCAGTTGCCTTAACCCACCAGCAGCAGTCAGAGCAACTTCTCCACTTGCACCTTCAAAGACATTACATTGAGCCTGTAGTGATATGTTAATGATGAAATCACCATGATTAAATCGGAAATATTACGCTCAATTCAATGCAAAACCCAACACAACCAAAAATGTCTTTGGAAAAGTGATCAATAGTTAGATAAGCCTTACTACAGGGAGATGTGAAGGAATGAAGATTTACCCAGAACCATTTTCTAGGGAAGCTTCCACCCCAATTCTTTTCTGAATATGAAGGGGCATTTTGAAACTCAAACCTTTCACCATCCCACTCTATCCAGCCTGAAATTCAAAGTCATAACCTGAGATAATATTCTTATAGCAAACATGGATTTCTAAAGAGATCAAATTTCAATCAAGGTGATAGGCAAATAATGGTGAATAACATAGTAAACTGAGCATAGATGTAGACTATACAGTATAGAGCAAGAAGAGGAAGTCAATTCAAAGTATAATTGACAAATAGGAAGGAGGTAAGCAAGTGCCTGTTGAAAGTCCACCAGCCATGCAAACTTGCCAATGGGGTTCAAATATGGGAAGAGCTGCAAGCCAGCCAGCTGTTGGCTTCTGCTTGGACCCAACATTACCCCATCCATAGATGGGGCGAGTACTGTACTCCCAACGTGCAGTTTTAACAATATTAGCATAAGTTGTCCTGCCATTAAAACCTGAACCATGTCAACAAAAATGCGGACACAAGTGGTAGTAAGTAGATAATTTTGCTCAATTTGTAGTATTGATTAACCCAAAAAGTAATATAATCACAACATAAAACATTGGCTAAAAATAGGAAGTGGGACTTAATCAAAGAACCACTTCTATTCTGATGGCATGTTCTTTATGCCAAAGACTAAACAAGGGAAGGAACTCGTAAACTATGCAGTAAGAACTTCTACGAGGGAGCACAAGCACATCAACCATCAAAATTAACACTTCTTCGATACTTCTCACAAAGCCACAACAATCTTAAATCTTTTAAGATATCCAAAATTTAAAGTATTTGTTTCTTCACATCCTCGCACACAAGTCTGAGACACATTCAACATTAGAGTTAATTGCTTTCTGTTTCTGTATAAAAAAAAAGAAAAATAACAGCAGATAAAAACAAAGAAGGATTTATTTGTTCTGTTTAGAATTAAAACCATGCTTATGGGTTCAAAATATAAGAAGCACCTGCCATCATCACGAATAAAGCCTTGATGCCAACGTGGGCTAACTTGGAAGCCTTCCAAAACTTTTTTATTGAATTCCTACAAGGAACAACCACATAAAATATGAAAAACTAACAATGGATCAAGATTAACCAACAAAAAATATCATCATATCAGCAGCATTTAGGCTTGCTTTGCAGGTATTTTCCTTCAAAGTGTAGAATCCCAGAAACTGCTTGTTCACCTGTGGAGGAACCTCCTTAGTTGGAGGTCGTGAGTCTTTGTTGGCTAAAAATGTATTCCCCAATGTTAACTCATGCCTACCTATGCATTAAAAAAAGTTAATTAGGCACAGAACGCTACCATTTATACATTTTGTTGTTGCAACTATTAAGGTAATAATACCAAAACACAGAATGACGAAAGTAGTAGATTAAGTACTCTAGCAAACAACTACACTGAAACAATTGATTTTTTAAAATTTATTAAGAATGGGTTATATTGATGCAGAACTGTTCAAGAACGCATATCATGTTATTAACTAACAAGACAACATAGAGGAAACAGAATCCCTTTTTGAAGTCCAAAAATAAAGTTAACTGGATTCAGTAATTAACATGATGGATGGAAAATCACAGAAAAACTAAAGAGAGGCCATAATAAAATCAATTTGGATTACCCAAAATTAAAAGTTAAAAAATGATTGAAAAGAATCTCTAAAAAATTATTAAAATCAGATATGACTCCTTACATGTTCGAATTGCTAAAGTCTAACAAAACCAAAGAGTGACCATGATGCATTACATGGATGAAATGTCACAGCACAATAAAATTCAGAGGTTGAAGTGAATCAACGTTGAGTTAAATTTCCTTGGTGAAAAAATTAATGTATCAGGCATTTTATTTCAAAATTCATGGCAAATGCCTGAGAACCTTTTCATATAGGTTAACCCACTGACTTGCTACATACTCAAGAACAAGGACAGCCACCATAAATGCTATTTTAGTTTAAAAGAGTAAAGGATCATATATTTTACAATGAAGTCAACAAGGCGTCATTCCTGCAGCCACCATACAAAATAAGAGACATTGACACCTAATAGTAATAGATCACAGTTGCATTACTGTATGATTAAAAGCACAGGCACAATGGGGCAGCCATAATAAGATTATATCTCAGATTCAAATCTCACAAGGCCGATGAAGGGAGAAACCTTACTGCCCCAAAAGTTTTGAGATTCCTCAGTGTATTGACATATATACTTGTCATAAGCACCAAGAATTTGAGCCCCAACTCCTGTAAATCTAGGTCCATGCTGCAGCATTTCCAATGGCGTCAATTTCCTCCTAAATGCAGGATTCTCCACCGAGTACATGAAGCAAAAGCTCTGTCTTCGTTCTGGGATTGATACCTTGAAGTACCAACCCTCGAAAAATTGTCGAGTAGTTCCATCAAAATGGTACCTATATACAACTTAAGCTTTTCAACAATTGGAATCAGATAAAACAGAGCCGTTGAGTAGCTGATCACCATGAATGGTAGTCTGAGGAACCCAATATTAATATTATCAAAGATAATTTAGACTATAGTAAAACTACGCTTCCTTGATACTTAATAGATTAAACTAAATAAAATATTACGAACCTCGCAAAGTCTTTAAATTTAAGCTTCAAAATGCACTTACTAAAAATCTGCTCTTTAAAGTCTTATGCTTTACTTTACCACTTGCTTTTAATTTCAGAGAACAAAAGCAAAGAACAAAACATATTTAAATAATAAATAATTGAAAATATGATTTTTGTAAATAACGAAATGCCTGATACTGATTCATCTTTAATCAAATTATAGTATTTTCTTTACAATGATAACGAATCAAACTAATCCATTTTTGGGAAAGGAAGAAGAAAAAATTAACACCCAAGTCAAGCTAAGCCTTGAATACAAAAATTACTAATTTTCAACTAAAATTATTAAAAAACCACTAAACAGCAACTCCAATTACCCGCTGTGAGGAGTACGAGTGTCTCGCTTAGCCGGCGTGGGGACATAAACCGGATTGACGGAGACGGCGCTGCTCTGAGCTGCCGGGGAAGAAGTTCCCGTTTCAGTTTCGGCGACAGAGCTGCAGGCGATAATCAGCGAGTTCGACCGAAACCCCACACTCAGAGGGCGGATGCGTAGAGGAGAGAATCCATTGAAGGTTGAAGATTGAGAAAATTTAACGGTGGCTTTAGAGTTCAGAGGGCGAAATCCAATACAAGAGGAAGAGAAATGGTGAAGCTCGTTGACCGAGTAAATGTTTGGCCCCATGGAAAACAAATCGTAAGAAAACTGAAATCTTTGAAAAGAAAAGGTCTGGAGGTTCAGTATATATCTGCCTTTAAAAAATATTAACAGAGGTGAGTGGGATGTGGCGCTAAAGATGAAGTGGCAACTGCCAACTTCTGTCTCATGCTTATCCGTTAATTAATCTTGAATAACTTCAATCAATTATTTTACGTTGACAATACATTGGGATTTTTTTTTATTTTTTCATAAATTTTATTACTTTTTTGCTATTTTTGTCGTATCTTTCATGTGGTGATCGTCGTCACACGCAAAGCATTTAATACAACATATACTATATATTAAAACAGGGGGATTTAACAGTAAAATCACATGAATAACATTGAATTACTTCTTACAATTTGCCGGCAAATCTTTAGATTATTCTTCTTTTAAATTTACTGGTACTGCAATCTTCTAGTGTGGACTAGCAGCGAAGCGTTGACGCGATTCATGGCATGTTGGGCCTTGACTCGGAGTTGAGAAACCAGGCGATCGACCGACGGCTTTGAAGCCAAAGCAGCAGAGATCGCATACCGCATGAGGCTGCAGAGAAGTAGAAGGAAACCCAGTTCGAGATTAGCCTGTATTGATCCAACATACCGAGAAAGCAAAGAGAAGACGCTGTACAAATCGAGGAAAACAATGGAGAAGGTTGAGAAAGAGAAAGCGAGCAAGAGGGTGATCAAGATGACAAAGGCGACCACAAGAAGAACGCAGGCAATGAAGGAGCCATAGAGAAATGCTACCAGGATCAAGTCTAAGTTGGGAACCATTGGGAGAAAGGAAGTAAACCAGGATGAAGCTCATGGGTTGTTGAGTTGAGAGTGATGAAAAATCAAGGTGAATTTGAAGGAAGAGAGCAGATGAGAATGAAGTGAGTTGCACTCATGCTCGTTCTGCATATGAATTGAGTTACCTCCAATACCCTTTTCATAAAATAATCTTTGCGTGTATATGAACCAAATAAGGAAAGAATTATACCGAGAAGAGCTCATTAAACATTTCAGTAAGATTGCAGCAATTATATATATATATATATACGAAGTTCATGCATGTGAATTTTTATGCAAAGACAAAAACCACCATTGCGTCGACAGCAGGATTCGAACCTGCGCAGGCAATGCCCAACAGATTTCGAGTCTGTCTCCTTAACCACTCGGACATATCGACGCCTGTACTCACGGAATTTTCTTATAACATCTTATTTGAAAACCCATTCTGCAACGAGACCGTTTGGCACATGCACTGGCTATGATTGCAAAGTTGAACAGCATTTGCTAATGGCCAGAGGAGATAAAACAAAGAAGACTTTTGTTGAGAAAAAAGGTACCTCCATGACTGGAAAAGTTCACACGAAAACAGGATTTCAATGCAGCAAGAGAAGGCCAACGTTAGGGGGCTAACCTATACCGTAACTATAAATACCTTTGTTTTTTCTAGTAAGCGTTCTCTTCTTCAAGAAAGCTTGGAGAAACTTATTTGTAACAATAGCATAGAACAAACCCATCATAGCAGATAAACTAACTTCAAATATACTCAAAAGTCCTCTCATAATAGGGCATCATTACAGTCTAATATAGTCATTTGTTGTCCATGTCTAAGTTGGGACTCTGCAGTTTAGGATAATCTTAGTGGTCTCTGCCACCCTGAGATGGCATTTGCTGCTGAATTCCAAACTGCATCAGAAATGAATAAGATAAATGCAAGATAAAAATGTAATAAAAGCCAGAACTGGGGATAACAAGTAAATAATCAAAATTGCTTTCAGTTTTACTCGAAGGAATTGCTAAAAACAGAATGAGAGCCAAAGTAACATTACAGTCTGTATCACACAAGGATGCTTTTAATTTGACCACCCGTTCCTAACTAGTTCCATGAAATTTCCCTCAACCAAAATGAGCAGGCAATGCATAAATGGTAAAATAATATACTGTACAACGATTATGTTTACACTTGTATGCAAAATACCCTGCCAATTCATCTAGAAGGTACGTACATCAACGAGTTGTATGCTTGGCCATTTGGTGTCAGCATCAGCCTAGTTATGAGTCTCGGTTCGCTGAAATGATATGCGATTCTCAGCCATCTTTCCTACAACCCAAAATAATCAACATGAAAAATAAGAAAAATCTAACTTGAGACATAACACTTTGCTCACATGTACAGAATAAGTACAGAAAATTAATCATTCCAGCTTATATACATAGTTTTTAAATTATTAGGAATAAAGCTTGAATCAGCTCATTAGAAATTGGTTGCTATATTTCTAAACCCAATGGTGGTAGAATCCAGCTAAGTCTGCTGGGCAGGAGGCTAATCTCACACACTGGTACAGCTTTCATTGTTCATTGAATTGGCCCACCAGGTCTTAACTTGAAAATCTGAAAGCAAGACAGCTAAATGTTTGGTTTCTTATTATCAAGTAGATAGCCCAGAAATTTATGTTTTTTTTCCTGTATATCATTTGGTCTCACTTTGATGATGAATAAACTGAACTGAAGAAAATATAAAATTACTTTGATTTCCATGTCAATTTTTTTATATTTCATATGCAAAACTTTTTGAACAAATACGTTGATTGCTTGAGAAAGAACTGCACTCACCTTGAAAATCAAAATTAACGCCTTCCGCATCCAGAATTTCATGCAAGTGGAGCAATAATATCTAAATTATTCTTCATTGACCATTTTTGGGGGTAGAAGGAATTAGATGATTCAGCATTAAGCTCCCAAACCATGATTCTTGAGCAGTCCTGCAGCAAGCCTTCCATCTGGCTTTCATCTTCCACAACTTGTTCAATGAACGAGCTTGCCTGAAAATTCAAATCAATAATTAAAAGGATTTAGTGAAGTCCATTACCAATTTGTGACAAGGCATTTCAGATAGGTGATGGTGCAAAATACTCTTCTATGGGTTGATTTTTGAAGAACAATGCCTCCAATCATACACACCAAGTTCAGGAGAATTCTGCTCACTTTTTTGCATGTGTGTGTTTTATTTTTGTCTCCATTTTTTCACTGCTCAAATATCAAGAATTCTTATCTCAATTGCCAACATCCTTTTCTCTTTTTCTTACCTGCCCTACCCAAAATTGGCTTAAGTTGCAGATGTAGTAAATCAGCAGGGGTCACTGCAGTAAGGTGAAACTACATGAAACTTAAAGGACAACCAAAGAAGAGTCAATAAAAACTAACTTGAAAGCCATCTTTTACTGTGTCAAGTTGTCTAATTGGTTCAAGAGTTGGTCGGTGCCATTGCTTTGGGTCCCAGAGTATGGTACTGTTGAAGGCAAACCCTGACAGTTCAGCATGGAATCTTCGGAATCTCCTACTTAATCCTTTTAGGTGCCATCCAATGACTTGAGTTCCATTACAAACAGGGCCCTCCAATATAGCTCTACTTTTGTCCCATGTTTGTTTGGCCACAGTCCATGTCCCGAACCGCCTAAACACAAAAGGCATTGAGAAATAAACTGCTGTATTTAGACACATGTAAAAGGAAGAAGGGGATTGTGGCAATGGCATGTATAATACTTAAGCAAAGTGCTCCATGCAAAGAATGAACAGCAGGAAATCCTATAGAGAAGACAAACGCCTAACTGGAGGCATCTTCAGTAATTAGAAAATGAACAAAAATAAACTGAAGGGAATAACAAATTCCTTGTGAGAAATAAGAAATCAAAGAAAAAGTTCTGTCATTCCTTTCATATTTCCATGTTGGTGGTAAGTTGTATATATCTGATTCCTATTTTAGTCTAGTGCTAGGATAACATATCATCTCAATTCTCAACCACTATCAACTATCATGCTTATAATAAGTCATGTTATGCAAACCTGTTCCCAGTTAAAGACATGGCATCACGAAGAGATATGCAATTGCTTTAAGGAATTTCAGGATTATTTCATAGTTTTTCAGTTCCTTCTTTTTGTCCAATTAAAACCCCTTATACTAATGATTCTCACACTTCACTGAGAGCTCAAAAAGAAAGAAGAAACAAGCTATGATCTAAATAAGCTAACTTTCTGCTTTCTTTCTTGTCACTCATTAGGGTATCACAGTAGACAAACCAGTCACCAGATTTGCATTAGAATACAATCAAGCGAGAAATGAAGTAGGATAAATTAGGCAATACATAGTAAGCAGAATTATAATTATTAGACTGAAAAAAGAAAATATAAAGAAGATACCTAATATGCCTCATTTGCTCAAAGAGATCGATCGAGTAGATGTTATCCTCATTGGCAAAGTAGACAATTCCATCAAGATGATGAGTTTCAATGTGAGACAGTGCCACATTTCTTTGGTGAACATTTCTGTCTTTTATATCAGTCAGATTTTTCTTGCAAACAAGATGCCTGTACATAACACTACTCCTTCTTAGGATGTCAGCTGCTTCCTCAGACTGGGAGGTCATCTCCACAACCACCCACAATAGAGGAGGTTGGACCAGCCTTAATGTGTATGCCAAACGATTTAGATAGTAGGCTTGAAGTGGTCGAGCATATGTTGGAGTCACAACTATTAAAAGCTTACGAGATTCCAGATCTATATCTTGAGAGAGTAACTGATTAGTGAAGGCATTATCTAAATGCCCTTCTATCACTTCCTGTTTCTGCACTAATGCCTCCAATGTGACATTACTTTCAACCTCCGCTTTGTCCATTATTGAAGTTACATTTCTTGCTGAACTGTCAAGCGTTTGAAAATTCCCAGCCGTTGATACTACCTCAAAGGAGAATGCCTGGTGCTTTGAAATGGGATTCATATAAGAAAAGTCCATGGAAATGAATGGTGTCAATCCAATAAAAAAACCAACTATGAAACAAATGAAGAAATGAAAAAGAGCTCTCGTCCAAACTTGTCCTTTCTGTTTTGACCTGTCAAGAGGCCTAGAGGATCTCGGAGAGAAAACACCAAGAACCAAAGATTGAGAATCCGATAAACCAAAAAGAGAAGATAGCAATCCGCCAGAAGGTGGGTAGTTCTGATTACATGATGAAGACTTGGACAAAGGAGAAGGAACTGAACGTTCAACCTCTCCAGTAACTAGAGTCCCCTGCCGAGGCACTGGAGACAGTGTTCTTCTAATTGATGCCATCAACAATAACCTGATGCACTCCTTAATCAATAAAGAATCACTACAAGAGAACAACCAAATTTATCACAACCTCGTTTTCTTTATCAACACACATCTTAAACATGAGCATCCAAGTATGCAATGTCTGCTCCTTGCTCCTTTGCACGTTATTTAATATAGCTTTTTGGCAACAATCTAGTGCCCGTATTAACCAAGAAATATTAAATCAATCCTACCAGATACGTTCACCTATCGAAATCCAATTTCAAAAAGACAACTTTCCCTCTCATCTTAAGAATGCCGGTAAATCCACCAAAGCCAAAGCAAAGTTCTTGATCTACAAAGAACTGTATAAGCAACTATCAGTAACTTCAAATCAAACTGAATGAACCCAAATACTCCACTTAAACAAAACAAGCAAAAAAACACACCGGCCTTGACTAAAAAAAACAGTGAGATTCCAAACCAAAAAGTTGTCAAGACTCCAACCTTAATGAAATGGGCAACTGAATTACCTTCCAATGAAAAATGGGTCTTCGATCTTCTTTCCCAAAAGTCACAGAGAAGAGAGAACCGGTCTCATCTCTGAGCCTTCGTTCAAGGCTCTAACACAGATTTTTTAATTAAAAAAAAAAAAGCACTCAACATTTTCAGATCTTCCTTTGCCTTTGTTGATAACCAAAGGTTAAAATGGAGAGTAAAATAAGAAGCCTAAAAGAAGATGCTCAAGGAATCTTTGCAATGGCCTTGAGAGTTGAGAGCCTGCAAACATAAGAGAGAGAGAGAGAGAGACTTAAAAACAGTTCAGAGAACACGGTACCTTGCTCCCAATCACAAAGATTAAGACACAACACAATAAATTCGATTATTTTTTTCCTGAATATATGTGGATAGTTTTAGGTGACCCAGCGTCAGACTGAGTTTGTGTGAGATTAAGGTACTACACACGCCTAAAAATTTTACATACACCTATAAATTTTATGAATCCCGTGAGAGTTATAAGTATATAACTAAAGACTTTTCTCTATCTAATCCGTATATGTTTTGATTGAAAAAATGGTCCGTGACAAGTAAAATTAAATTTTTTATGAGAGAGATATTAAAATTAAAATTAATTAAACTAAATATAATCTTTTTTTAATATTATATAATTAAATAAAATAAAAAATATGGTAAATTTTGTATTTATAAGTACAATTTTTTCTTGCTTAACAAATATATATTTTGACTTAAAAATATCAACTGTAACATAATCATGCGATAGATGCACAAACCTTTCCATGACCCCAACAGTTGAACTTTCCTTACCCTTTTGGGCAATTGGAGTTTGGGTGTTGATTATTGACTTCCCTAGTCCACGAAAATCGACTCCCAATTATAATGGTATTTTTGGAGAAATTCCAATACCGTTAATAAAAGGAATAATGGAGAAATTAAAATAATTTTTTTATCAAGAACAACTACTGAAAAAGGGGTTTTAATTTTGTATGATAGAAAAATAACTATGAAAAAAAATCCAAGCTGTAAGACTATGAGTTTCTAAAAAAAGCAATAATTCATTAATAATGGTACGGTATTAAGATACTCTTAAAATGAAACTTCGTTGGCAACCTTGTCCCACAGTTTCTATAACAAATTTAGGCATGTTAGGTATGATCCTGACCCCGCACCTTGGTTAGGAGTAGCATTTAATTCGTTTTATTTTACCCAAATAACTTTAAAATCTTATTATTCACTTCAAAATTTTAGTAATTTTTTAAATATATATAATATTTTAAAGTATTGGGAAAAATTTTAAATAATCGATTTTAGTATAACTAGTTAACGATTGAGGCTAAAATACTTAAAAAGTCATTAATTTATGTTTACTCGTACAATTAAAATTTTATTTTTATTATATTTAAATAAATTATTTATCTTTTGATTTGTATTTATACAAAATTTTACTGTTAGTGGAAAATTAATCATTGTTAAATCTAGTATAAATTGATATTTTTTATTTATATGAAATATGATATAAGAATTGACGTGATCATATGACAATCGATATAATTACACATCAAATAATGTAAAATAAATTATGTAGCCATGAACAAAAATGTTAATTGTTATTAGAATCATTAAGATTAAGGGTTTATTGTGTTTGTGTAAAGTGAAATATAAGAATTGGTTTAGATATATTAAAAAATATGAATTTAATTAGATATAATTGAAGAATTTTTTTATTAGTTAAGGATTATTATTAATATAACTTTGAAGTTCCATCCCATTTACATATTTTTGAAGCTACAATAGTGTTGGAAAAGGAAAAGACAGCCTTAGCCTTGTTGACGAATTACGAAAGGCAACAAAAGCTTGATCAACGGGGGTGAAGCTTCAGTTCTAAAAGACAAATAAATAAATAAATCTAATCATTGATCTATTGTTTGCATGGCCTAATTATTTGATCAAATAATTTCATAAGGGTAGAAATTCAATAGGCCATAAGGCTCAGTCCAATTTCCTATGAGTTTTACCTTTTTTTATCTTCACAAAAATTTACACACAAATTATTTGAAATATTTTTTTCAATATAAATATTCAATACATCTTAACATGAAAAATATATTTATAATATAAAAATAAAAATAAAAATATTAAGCATTTAAAAATAAAAAACTTACTTTGAGACATTTCAAAAAGAAAACAAAAAAAAAGTAATAATTTTCTTTCTTGCATAAAGGGGACGTTGTAATTAAAATTATAATTATGTTATCTAAACACTCTTATCTCTTAAATTCACCCTAGAAGGATTCTTTATGTTTTTATTATCATTAGAATAAATAAAGATGACATTAATAATTTTCATGCTTTCATAATCTTTTCATTCAAATGGATAAGGAAGCCTTTGCGTGATTAATTCACATTTTTTGTTATATCCAATGAATGAAGATTTAAGTAAAATTTTTCGATATAAAGTTTATATTTGAAAATCTCCAATCATTAATTCAAGGACATATATATATATATATGAGATATTTCGTAATTTTTTTTTAAATTTTAAACTTATTAATGTTCTCCTAAGAAAAATTAGAGTGATTATTTTATTTTCCGATATTTTATTTACCAACAAATAAAGGGGGAAAAAAGAAAAAAACCTTAAAGAGGCCGGCTTTTATTTTATGTAAGTAAAGCGGTGTTCTAGTCGGTAGTCCTCGCAAACTCCTCCCCCGACTTTTCTCAGATCTGTTTCTCTTTGCCCTCTGACAAATAGAGAGAAACAGATACAGCTCTTCTTCAATCGCCATAGCCATGGCGATTAGGTCTTTTCTTTTTCTTCCACTTCTCTTCTTCTCTTCTCTAAATCCGATCCTTTCTCTTTACGAAGATCAAGTAGGCCTCATGGATTGGTAAGTTCGACTTCTCCCTTCGTATTCGCAATTGATTCTTCCAGCTATCTTGATTTTATTGAATTCCTTTATTCAAATTTAGCTTTATTTTCTTTATTCTGATTAATTGTTTAATCTTAGGCATCAACAATACATCGGGAAAGTGAAGCAAGCAGTGTTCCATACTCAAAAAACTGGTCGAAAACGAGTCGTAGTGTCCACTGAAGAGAACGTTATAGCTTCACTTGATCTCCGCCACGGCGAGATTTGTAAGTCCGATTCTATTCAATTGGTGCTGACTATTGAAATTTATTTGATTTAATTTATAGTTTTCTTCTTCAACTTGTTGTTTCAATCACTACTAAATTCTTAATGGATTTATGTTTGGTTGTTTTATGAAGTTTGGAGACATGTGCTTGCGACTAATGATGTTATTGATGGAATTGATATTGCTATTGGAAAATGTAAGTATTTTTTGAGTTGTTTTTTTTTTTATTGTTAGTAATTGTATTACTTGTTTTAGTTTCCAGCTTGTTTTTGCTGAGTGTTGATCAGATATTTTGTTTGATTAAATGTTGGTTTTCCCTTCTGGTGTCAGTAAGGGAAGGTGTGCCTTCTTGCTTGGATAGCTCATTAAGTTTTGAATAAACATTTCATTCCTGCAGATGTCATTACTCTTTCATCGGGAGGAAGTATTTTAAGAGCATGGAACCTTCCTGATGGGCAGATGGTCTGGGAATCTTCTCTTCAGGGTCCAAAGCACTCAAAATCATTGTTATTGGTGCCGGTTCGTATCAGGGTTTTCATATGCCAAATTCTTTCCAGTTAACATAGTTTTTGTTCCTATCTCTTGGACACAGAGTCTGTTTTCAGTAGATCATGGTTTCTGAAAGTTTTACCCTGCTATACTCTATTAGTTATCCTGTTATACAGTAAAGATTATTCTCATTAAGTTTTCATCTAAAAGATCTTAAGTTGTCTGTAATACATCCTATACAGCGAGGCTATTTTATCTACAGAAGTGCACTTCATTGAACATTTCTTATTATTGTAACTTGTGTCTTCCTGGAACTTTGTGCCCTGTCTTTTAACCAATCTTTAAAGCTGTATTTCAAGGGGTAGATAGAAATCATGGTTTTTAATTCATTCTATAATTCTAAAAGACTATCGGATGACTTTATTAATATTATGCAGACAAATTTGAAAGTTGACAAGGATAATGTTGTCATTGTTTTTACCAATGGCCGTCTGCATGCTGTTTCTAGCAACGATGGTGAGGTTCTCTGGAAGAAGGATTTTGAAGCAGAAAGGTTAGTCTAGTTCGAAAGTTTTACATTTCAACAGCTTTCCCATCCTCCCACTCCCCTTTGAAAATAATGGTATCATTTATGTATTGCATTGCTGTGCTACTTGCAGCCTTGATGATCAGCAGGTAATTCAGCCTCCGGGCAGTGATTTAGTATACGTTGTAGGATTTGCTGCTTCATCCCAGTTTGAGATGTATCAAATCAATGCCAGGAATGGAGAGTTGTTGAAGCATGAAAGTGCAGCCTTTTCTGGTGGGTTTCTGGGAGAAGTTTCACTAGTTTCTAGTGAGACACTTGTGGCTCTTGATTCCACAGGGTCAATTTTGCTAACAATAAGTTTTCACAATGGAAAAATTAGTTTTCAACGGACACCCATTTCAAATCTTGTTGAGGATTCTTTGGGGCCAGCAGTAATAACACCTTCATCAGTCACAGGAATATTTTCACTTAAAGTGAATGCAATTACTGTATTTATTAGAGTGATAGGTGAGGGAAAGTTGGAAGTGTTGGAAAAAACAAATCATAAAACAGCTGTTAGTGATGCTCTCTCAATCTCTGAGGGAAAACAGGCATTTGCATTGATTCAACATGCAGGCAGTGAGATTCGTCTCACAGTGAAGACTGCGGATGATTGGGATGGTAATTTGCTTAAAGAAAGCATCAAAATGGACCAGCAACGAGGGCTTGTCCACAAGGTTTTCATAAATAATTATATCCGAACTGATAGGTCTTATGGATTTCGAGTGTTGATTGTGATGGAAGATCATTCATTATTGTTACTTCAACAAGGTGAGATTGTCTGGAGCAGGGAAGATGGTCTGGCCTCAATAGTTGATGTAACAACTTCAGAACTCCCTGTGGAGAAGGATGGTGTATCGGTAGCAAAAGTGGAGCACAACCTCTTTGAATGGCTTAAGGTATGGAATATGTATCTTTTAAATGATTTCAAGAATATTATGAGTTCCCATTGAAAAGCGCAATTGAATTTAAGTAATGCAACCCTTTTCATTGCTTTCGACAGGTTATTGATTATTGATTTTGTTTCTGATACATGTTGGATTTTGATATGATATGAAGTCTTTCATGTGGTTCTGAAATTAGAAAGATTACGGGTAGACAATGTGTGAGCATACTTGTTTGTGTATTCACCACAGAGTTTGTTAAATGGTTTTCAACTCTTTGAATGGTGTTGTGTTTTGTTAGTTTTAATAACGTGAACTTCCTATTGTCAAAGCATCCATAATTGCATTCATTATTTGAAAATGGACTTGAAGATGCATTTCTTTGATTGAATCCTCTCTGACATTGTGATTTTGACAAGATGCTCTGTTTTTTTTTAAGGGACATATGCTGAAGCTCAAGGGAACGCTAATGCTAGCAAGCCCTGAAGATATGGTAGCCATACAAAGTATGAGGTTGAAAAGTTCTGAGAAGAGCAAAATGACTCGAGACCACAATGGCTTCCGGAAGCTGCTCATAGTACTAACAAGAGCAGGGAAGCTCTTTGCCTTGCATACTGGAGATGGACGCATTGTCTGGTCTCACTTGCTACAGTCTCTACACAAACCACAGGTGTGTCAGCATCTGATAGGACTAAACTTGTATCAGTGGCAGGTCCCCCATCATCATGCTATGGATGAAAATCCATCTGTGCTTGTAGTTGGCAGGTGTGGTCCAAGTTTGGATGCACCAGGTGTACTTTCTTTTGTTGACACTTACACAGGAAAGGAGCTTAGTTCTTTAAGTCTCGTCCATTCTGTTGCACAAGTTATTCCACTGCCATATACAGATTCAACAGAACAGCGACTGCATCTGCTAATCGATGCTGATCAGCGTGCACATTTATACCCAAAAACTCCTGAGGCTATTGGTATTTTCCAACGTGAGTTCTCAAACATATACTGGTACTCAGTTGAGGATGATAATGGCATCATCAAGGGGCATGCATTGAAGAGCAAGTGCACTTGCGAAGTGGCAGATGAATTCTGCTTTGACAGTAGGGAATTGTGGTCAGTTGTGTTCCCATCAGAATCAGAAAAGATCATTGCAACTGTCACGAGAAAATTGAATGAGGTAAAGTGGCTTTTCCCCTTCGCTTATTTGTCAACCAGTGTAAGTCATCTTAGGAGTTTTCCAGACTCATTTCTACTGTGTGGCATTGTTGCTCAAAGTAACTGCTCTCATGAGTTTAGGTTTTGGTTATGCATTTCTCAGCCCAAGACTTTGAACCATTGCATGAGACATTCTTCATTTTTATTTTGTTTTGACTTCTTAATAACCAATTGTAGATGATTTTGTTGTGCTTAGTGTCATGTGGTTAATGGGTGTTATAGACGATCGCTAAATTAATGTTGTTAATTCCCTATTGTGCATGTTCTTCTGCATGTTTTGAATGTTTATTGGTGCATTGCTGCTCATGCTGCATGTTTAAACCATAATGAATGCTTTGTGATTTGAGATCTCCAGGTGGTTCATACTCAAGCAAAGGTTATAGCAGACCAGGATGTAATGTATAAATATTTATCAAGAAATCTACTTTTTGTGGCTACTGTTGCACCCAAAGCCAGTGGTGAAATTGGATCTGTTACACCAGAAGAATCATGGTTCGTTGCATATCTTATTGACACTGTAACTGGTCGTATATTGCACCGGGTGACCCATCATGGTTCACAGGGCCCTGTACATGCTGTAAGTTCTCATTTATTCCTCATATTAGTGTTACAAGCGGCTATGAGAGGGATGCAGTTGTTAATGCTTTTTGTTTCTTGTAGGTTTTTAGTGAGAACTGGGTTGTCTACCACTACTTCAATCTTAGAGCGCACAGATATGAGATGTCAGTCATTGAAATTTATGACCAGTCTCGGGCTGTAAGCAGACAAACTTGAATTGTTTATGTTGAGCTGCCTGTACCTCCAATTCTGTTCAATTTATCTTTTCCAATTTACATACTATCCACAGGACGACAAAGACGTTTGGAAACTTGTTCTTGGAAAGCACAACCTTACTTCACCAATTTCTTCATATTCTCGACCAGAGGTCATAACAAAATCACAGTCCTACTTTTTCACCCATTCTTTGAAAGCTATAGCTGTGACATCAACAGCGAAGGGTATAACTTCAAAGCAGCTTCTCATTGGTACAATTGGAGATCAGGTTCGTTAAAATTTTCAGAAAGATCTAAATCATGAATATCTTTCCAGCTAATTATGCGCTGTTAGTGTTTCCTTTTTTGAGAATTAAGCATTATGCTCATTTCTACAAATATTAGTGCTGTCTGGTACTTCTGCCTGTGGCATGATTTTAACCATGTTTTACAGGTTTTGGCACTTGATAAGCGTTTCCTGGATCCTCGGCGATCAGTCAATCCCACACAAGCAGAGAAAGAAGAAGGAATTATACCACTAACAGATTCATTGCCAATCATCCCTCAGGTTAGATTCGTTATGTTCTGTCCCCCATACCAGCTTATTCTTTCTTTCATTTTTTTTTGGGTATCATTATCTTCTTGAGAAATACTGTTCTACTGAGATGCTCCTTTAGTATGCACGAGGACATATACATATGGTGGAACTGGCCAGGCCAACCATCAGCATTTTATCAATTTAATCCATTCTTCTCACTCTGTCTCTCTAAACTGATGGGGGTTGGGATAAGGGAATTGATTTTAAGTAGCATAGCTGATGGCTGTTCTTGAATTGTTTCCAGTCCTATGTAACACATGCCTTTAGAGTGGAAGGTCTTCAAGGTATAGTAACTGTGCCTGCCAAGCTGGAATCAACAACCCTTGTCTTTGCACATGGAGTGGACCTCTTTTTCACCCAGCTTGCACCCTCAAGGACTTACGATTCGCTCACAGAAGATTTTAGTTATGCCCTACTTCTCATTACAATCGCGGCACTTGTAGCAGCAATCTTTGTAACGTGGATTTTGTCTGAGAGGAAAGAACTACAAGAGAAGTGGAGATGAGTAATTCTCTGCTCATCACATTTGTGTACTAACAATTTTCCTTTTTTATTAGATGACAGATGCTTTATGATTTGAATTTAGATTTAGGAGGTTCCCTCCTGACTTGTAATTCTTCTAAATTTTGTAGCATGCCCCCTCATTTGAATTTCAATGTTTTACACGATGCAATATCTACAGAAAACGTCTCTTATTTTGTTTGCCTTGTTCTTGACCCGTAAACAGCGAGCATGCGGGGGAAGTGGTGGTGTGGGCCACTTGGCCCGAGTTTGTTCATCATTAATGCGGCTAGAGTGGAGGTTATCATTGAAGGCTGGGTGAAGCCGTCAAAGACGTGGGCCAAGCCTACAATGTCTCGACATGATTCCCATCCACCCTAGCAAGCGAGTTAATGTTGTCTTGCATCACGTCCAAAATCCCTTCTCAAGAGTTCACACTACTTTCCCAGTTTTCTTCCCTCTCCCTGCCTCAGCAAAATCCAAAACTTCTCTTAGGCACTGGTTTTCACAGTGTTTGTTCCTGTTTCACTGTTAACCACATGTCCAAGCCTTACGTATCCATCAAAGGCTTAACAAAAAAGTTGAAGGATGAAGAATGAAGGCTACAAAATGTCCATCAAATATTCTAATTAACCAAAGTTGAAAGTGACATGTATCACAGTACTTCGAAGTTTGAACTTTGAATTGGGATTGCCCCGTTCGCCACCTGCATTCACCCCCCACGCCCCAACAAAATGACGACATATCGTGAAGGTCCACAGTTTCTTCTGCTCCCTGAGTACCCTGCCACCTCTGCAAACTGCTCAGTTACCCGCGGCCCCCCTCACTCTCGCAGTTGCATTAGTACGTTCTGCTATTGCTCTCTCTGAGTCTCCTTCACTCCCATTCCCATATCTCGACTAAAAAAACCTTCGCTGTTAGCCTGAAATCAGCATGAAAACTCATCACCACCACCCAAAGCTAAAAACCCACCCACGTCCACTCTTCTCATGCGGATTTTTCCGTAATTGCACTCAATCCACCCTCAGCCCCACCACTCCCCACTCTCCTTCCCTCCCTCTTTCTTCCTCCCAACCGCCACCTTCCTCTCCGCCGCCATCATCATCGCTACCACATCCTTCAGCGCCTCCTCCACCACCACCGCCACCACCGAAAAACTCATTCCAGCAACGCCCAGAATCATCCTCTTCCTCCTCTTCTTCCTCCGCTTCCCATAGCTTCACTCAATGGAAATTCCCCATCCCCACTTCCCCTCTCCACCAAAACCCATGTCAATCTACTCCTCATTTTCAACCACCGCCGCCGTCTCTCCCGCCTCCTCCGCCGCTTTCCTCCGCCAACCTCCAAGAACTCTTCCACATCGCGGAGCTTCAACTCAGCACCGGTTCACAATCCGAACAACTCGCTGCCCTCCAACTTCTAGACCGCTCTCTGGTTCCCAACCCCCCATCCGACCCGATTTGCCCGCCTGCATTGATGCGCGGGATCGTGTCGAATTTAAACAACGAAGCAGGGGTAAAGCCAGCAACTAAAATTCTACTAGCGTTATGTTTGGCGGAAGGCAACCGCCACGTGGCTGTGGAGGCTGGGGCTGTAGGTGCTGTGGTGGAGGTAGTGGCGGAGCTGGAAGGAGCGGCGGCGGAGAGGGCGTTGGCGGCGCTCGAGCTCATGTGCACTGTGGCGGAAGGAGCAGCGGAGGTGAGGGCCCACGCGCTTGCAATGCCCGTGATGGTATCCGTCATGGGACGGTTGGAGGGAAGAGGGCGGGAATATGCCATAAGCGTGATTTCCGTGATTTACGGAGGCGGTTGCGTTGGAGGTGGCAGTGGGGAAGAACAGGAGGAGGAGACGGTACCCGCGCCGCCGGAGGAGGTTGCGCGGGCGGTGGTGTTGGCTTTGCAAGGGGAGTGTACAGCTAGGGGCAGGAGAAAAGGGGCCCAGCTCTTGAAGATGCTTCAGGAGTACGGACGGCTAGATTTAACCCAAGATGGGAATGAAGGGTTCTGATTCGTCCATGATTTCGGGGCTGTTTTCAACTCTCGGGAATTTACTGTTGTACTTTAGAGTTCACTAATAATTGAAGTAGGAAAAAAAATCTAGTGTGCGAATAGTGCGTTATTCCCACGTCTATAGCTGGACGTAATTAAACAGTAGAAAAAGTTGGGTGGTCCAGTTTAGAATATTATTGAAAATTTTCCGGTTCCGTTTATTCCACCCCATGTCCTCCACCGTCAGATGTGAAATTTGTTCAAGCACTTTTTTTGCTTTGTATCCACGGGTAGAGATTCCAGAGTTTAATACCTATACGACTGGAAAGCTAAACTGTCCACACCTTACTTTTTTTTCCTCCTTTTTGGTGAAGAAGATAATTCAATTATTAACGTAGAAAGCAGGAGTGGGAGACATGTCCAAGCAAAAAGGCCAGAGGGGGTATTATTTTGTGCATTGAGGGTGAGATCCTGAATCCTGCTAGCCTCAGCCTGCCTGCATGATCTTCCCATCAACAGCAAGGCAGCGTTACCCAAAGTAGAAAATAAACATTCTATGTAGTAATTTTAAAAAATTTTCACCTAGAGCCTGTTTGGTTTAATTATTTCTTGAGTTTAAAAGTTATTATAAAAATTTTTTAAAAAATAAAATTATATTAAATTTATTTAGTAAATTTACTTTTATAATTTTTTTTACAAATAAGTTATTTGATAAAATAATTTATATAAATTTTAATTTTAATTAAAATTATCTTAAAAAGTATTTAATAAATAATTTTTTATTAATTATAAATTTTTTTATTCATAATAGAAAAAAGTTAACTTTATTTTTTATTTATAAAAAGTATAAAAAGAATGTTTTATAAAATAAAATTTATAATTAATAATAAATCATATAAAAATAAAAATAAATAATATTAAAATTATTTTTAAAAGATGAGAACATTTTTTAAACTAAAAGAAAAATTTTATTAAAAAAAGGGGTGTGTTCTTGAAAAGGAAGAGAGAAAGCTCCAAAGACGAGCTTTTTCTAATTTTTTTTTATTCTTTTAAAAAATTATTTATTTTTTTTAAAATTTTTTAAAATTTTTGTTTGACTTGATTTTTATTTTTAAGAAGTAGATAAGTTGAAAAAAAAACCTAAATTAAATAAGCACTTAATTTAGGTTAATAGTCCTAAGAACCCAACAAAAAAAAATCATATTTCTTTCTTCTAATCTCAAGATAATTATCTCTGTAGTTTCTACCGAAAACAATTAAAGGTTCCATTAAATACAATTAGTACACCAATGCGCCTAATTAACCGTCCATGTATTGCGGAAATAATTACTATTAATTAATACACCAAAGAATGATTGACTTACTCAATATTGTTTTATGATAAGAGGACCATGTACCTGATGTTAATGCTGCTGCAAACTGACATGATTATACTCTTATCAACTATTAAAATTTTGCTAATTAACTCATCATCTTCGTAGTATTTTATAAGATAAAACTATAGTTTTAGAGTAAAAAGAACAAATTAAAAGAAACATAAAATTTTAGTTATAAACTAATCAAATCATCCAAACTTTAATTAACAATGTCTTAGTTGCACCATAATCTGATATAAATCAATTTTACTGTATAAAAAATTTAAATTTAATAGAATTATGAAAAAATTTTAAAATTAAATATTAAGATCACGTCAAGTATTTCAAAAAATAAATAAATATATTTCAATTTTAAATGGAACAATTATAAAGATCTTGAGCTACTTGTGAACTTTAAAGTCAAGTTAACAAATTTAAGAGAGATTAATGATCCCTTTAACATTAACATTGACCCTACTTAAAAGTGGAATCAAAGTGTTCAAAAAGGTTTGGGTTCTTTATATCCTCACCATCATGAAAAGAAGATGATTTCATAAAAAAGTCCATAACAAATTAAGCATCCATCTCTGTATATTATTTTATTCTCTTTACCATCCCAAATTCTATCTTGGTTTTCAATGCAAGTACCGTTTTTCTTTTTAATCTCATTTTTTGTTCTAAGCATTGCCTTCTGTTCTGTCCACATTCCCATACTACTATATTCTCTTTAGCGAATTGATACTCTCCCTGACACAGCTCAAATCTGCAAATACTGCTAGAATTATCCAGGGACTAGCTAGATGTATTCCTTTCGGTGGCTCCTAGGTGTTCTACACCTGCTTCTATGGGGTTCAACCTTGCAAAACATCCGGGCCATTCCACCACGGGATCCAGTTCAATGCAACGGAACAGTCTGCACCCTCTACAATTCCTATGGTGCATGGGGAGATCGGAAGGACTGCATCTTCAAAACTGTTGCATACCCAAAAACAGAAGAAGAGCTTCGCTTGGTCGTGGCCTATGCCAATAAGAACAAGCTCAAGGCGAAAGTAGTCAGCAAATTTTCACACACCATCCCAAAACTAGCCTGCCCTTCCTCGCGGCCCGATGATTCGTTGTTGATAAGTACAGCAAAATATGATTCGAACATCGAAATTGACTCGGCCAACTTCATTGTGACAGCCGATGCAGGAGTAGCGCTACGAGAGCTGATTGATAAGGTTGAAGAAGCCGGGCTAAGTCTAGTGGCTGCGCCGTATTGGGAGGGCGTGAGCGTTGCCGGGCTGATAAGCACCGGGGCGCATGGGAGCTCATGGTGGGGTAAAGGAGGAGCTGTTCACGATCATGTCATTGGCCTCAGCCTTATCGTTCCTGCTAGTGAATCAGAAGGGTATGCAAAAGTAATCCAAATTGGAGCTCAAGATCAACTTCTTAATGCAGCAAAAGTATCATTAGGAATTGTGGGGGTCATCTCTAAGGTCAGTATTTCTGTTCTTTCTTTGACTTACCGTGCTAAACATTGATTAGGATCTTGGTTTATATTAAAGCTGGTGCCAACAATCTTCAGAAAACGTGTACGTTAGAGTTTGGCAGATGGCTGGAATCTTGTCTAACCAAATCAATCAATACACGCGGAAGAAATCAAAAAAATCCAATAGAATGTAAAAATATTTGAAGATTTTCTCTGGAAACTCAATAGAGGAGATAGAGCTAACTGCTTTCAAGGAAAAGCACAAAGAAACTGATAATAGGGACTGCCTTAATTGCATTTGTCTGTATTATATTATGCCCTTAATTTTCTTTCGCATAGCTGCTTTTCATATCCGTTGTCTCAATGAACGATAGGTGAAGTTCTCTCTAGAGCCAGGATTCAAGAGAAGCATTACATATAACTACACAGGCGATTCTTTAATTGAAAGTGAATTCATCGAACATGGAAAGAAATATGAATTTGGAGACATCACTTGGTACCCATCAGAACATAGAGCTGTGTATAGATATGACAGCAGAGTTTCCATGGACGCCTCTGGCGATGGAATTAACGACTTCCTTGGTTTTCAAGCCAATGAAATTTTGGCCTCTGAATCAGTCAGAGCAGCAGGTAAAGCTCCACTTGTCACTGGTATTTCACACGCACCTTTCGCTTGGTAGTGAAAAATAGATATTAATGCCTTGGTTTCAATTATGTGGAAATATTGCAGAAAAGGCATCCGAGAGTGCCAAAAACGTCAATGGGAAATGCACGCTGGCAGCCATTACTTTGGGGTACAAGAAACTGATTGCCAATGGATTGAAGAACAATGGCTTGATTTTCACAGGCTACCCAGTTGTGGGGCGCCAAGGAAAAATGCAAACATCTGGTTCTTGTTTGTATTCACCTATCACGAGAATCGATAGTTCATGTGCTTGGGATCCAAGATATAAAGGGCTTTTCTTTTACGAGTCAACTGCAATATTTAGTGTTTCAAAGTTCGGAGACTTCATCCGAGATGTTAAAAGATTAAGGGACCTAAAGCCAGAAAACTTTTGTGGGGTTGATCTCTATAACGGGTTTCTGATTCGTTACATCAAGGCTTCAAAGGCGTATCTAGGTCAATCCGAGGACTCCATAGTTGTTGATTTCAACTATTATCGCGCAGATGATGCTTCCACTCCGAGGTTAAACCAAGATGTAACTGAAGAAGTTGAGCAGATGGCCTTCCTCAAATATGGAGCAAGGCCACACTGGGCCAAGAATAGGAACCTGGCATTCTTGAATGTACAAAGTAAGTACCCAAACTACAATAAGTTCCTTGCAGCAAAGAAGCAATTAGACCCACAAAACATGTTCTCCAGCGAATGGTCGGACCAGATATTATTCGGAAAAGGAGCTGTTAAAAGTGATGGATGTGCCTTGGAAGGGCTGTGCATATGCTCGGAAGACAGGCACTGCAGTCCAAGCAAAGGGTACTTTTGCAAGCCAGGTCTTGTTTACACTGAAGCTAGGGTATGCAGATATCCACCATCCTCCACGCTGATTTAGTTTTCCAGCAGATTCTTTTGTTTTCTTAAATTAAGAAACATTTCTTAATTAGTTCATTAATTAATTTGAATTGCAAAGCAAACAATTCTTATTTGATTGCAATGAAGTGCATCACTTTTGCTTTACAATAATATATATATGTTCTAATTATTTTGATGCAAGCGTAAATGATCTGTGCTTGTGAATGGAAAACAGGAGTCGTGGCGGCCTCCACGTCCTGGAATTATTGCAGCATTCCTGCTTTCACCATCCTTTACAGTTTGGGCCTATTGGAACCAATTCTGTATTTAAAAAATACTTCAAATTGTTTATTTAATAAAAAGGACTTCTCCATCAAAATAATCACCCTAATTTTGTGTCATCCAATTACTTAGATGAGCTGGTTTAAAAGAATAAACAAAAACTTTTTTAAATTACTCTTAAAATGATATCTTTCATGATTTTTTTCATATTTTATAAATAAAATATTCATATCTTAAAAATTATATAATTTTTCACTTATGACCGCTTGATAATATATTATCATTGATCATAAATTTTTTTATAATAAATGAATACATACATACATATATATATATATATTTATATTTTATATTTATTTGTCGATAAAAGTAAATTAGACTCATAATGTCTTGTGATTAGCTATATATATATATATATATTTATGGAATCAAAATGCAAAAGAAGCCTTATGTTCTGTCAGCCAGGCTGGCCTATTCTTTCTCTTGAAGCTATTTGCTGGTTGCTGTTATCACCATCATTATCTTTAATTTCCAGGAAATATGTTATATCTTCAATTTATACATATAAATTAATTATAAAAATAAAATAATTTAATTATATTAAAAATTCGAATCATTTAAGAGGTGGATTAATAAAATCTGGGTGTACCACGAGAAATGGCTCTCTATACCACGTTATAACGCCTCAGAAGATGCTCACACTCGTCTTCCTTAACCTAAAAGGTGTGGACAACCCTCTCAAATACCACGTCTCTGTTACTCAGCCAAAAACAAGTTATTCAGCAACCCAATATGCAAGAAAGCTCAACGTTCAAAGCTAAGTGCTAAGCTTATCTAGCTGCAAAACTGCAAAAGCTAGGAGAAACAGTTTTTGCTGCAAATACAAAAACAGAACACATGGCCCACCTGAAACTAAGAACCAGAAAACAGGTTCCATGTGTTAGATTTGGTGTTGGGCAACTGCTTGTGTGGGCCTCAACCCTGCAAACGATCCAGGCCTTTCCGCCGCTGCAACGGAACAGTCTGCACCCTCTACAACGCCTACGGTGGTACATGGGGAGATCGAAAGTGTACTGCTACGTTGCAAACGTTATATATATCCAATAACAGGAGAAGAGCTTTGCTTAGCTTTGCTCAAGGTGAACGTACGTAGTCAGCAAATTTTCTCATTCCATTCCGAAACTAGCCTGCCCTTCAACTCATTCCGGAAATTCACTGTCGATCCGTCCAGCAAAATATGATTCGAGCATCAATATTGACTCAGCCAATTTGGCTAGCTGTTGCAGTAGATGCTGGAGTAGTGCTAGAAGAACGGATCGATGAAGTTGAAGAATCTGGGCTACGTCTAGCTGCTGCGCCTTCTTGGGAGCGCGTGACCCTAAGTGCAGCACAGTCCGGATATTTTTTGCTGATAAGTACAGCAAAATACGATTCAAACATCGAATTGACTGGTCCAATTTGTCTGTGACGGTAGATGCTGGAGTAGCGCTATACGAGAACTGATAGACAAGGTCGAAGAAGCTGGGCTAGGTCTAGTGGCTGCGCCTTATGTAGGAGGGGATGAACGTTGCTGGGCTGATAAGCACCGGGGCGCATGGGAGGTCATGGTGGGGAAACGCAGGAGCTGTTCATGATCATGCCATAGGAATTAGCCTTATTTTTCCTGCTAGTGAATCAGAAGATTATGGAAAAGTAATCCAAATTGGACCTCCAGATCAACCTCTTAATACACCAAAAGTTTCATTAGGACTTTTAGGGGTGATCTCGAAGGTTAGTAGATGTCTATTCTCCTAGTATTCTTTATTTGTTTGACTTGCTACTATATTATTGCTTAGGATATTCCTGGCTTATAGCATAGCAGGTAGATGCAAGTGCGATCTTAACTTTAGTTGGAATCTTTTCTAGGAAAACTTCAAGTTAGCCTTAAATTTGTTGAGAACTTGGAAGTTGGAACTAAAGGAAACTTAGAACAAAAACAAACAAACTTTTGAGTGAGCTTAGATTTATATTTTCCTATTTGTCTAATAAAGTAGATTTATAATTGCCTGAATAAATAATAATAATAGGTGAAATTGTGTCTAGAGCATAACATATAACTAATGGCACAAGCGATGCTCTCATTGAAAATGAATTCATACAACATGCTAGGAAATATGAATTTGCAGACATCATTTGGTATCCATCAAGACATGCAGCTGCGTATAGATATGACAGCAGAGTTTCCATGGATACACCTGGGGATGGATTAAATGACTCTATTGATATCCAACCAAGTTCTATCTTGTTCTCTCTATCAGTCAGAGCAACAGGTAATTAACCATCACATGAAACTGATCTCCTGCCAGTTAAGTCAGATATTAATGCATAGATTTAAATATGTGAAAACTTTGCAGAAAAATCATTGGAGCGTGCCATAAACGCCAGTGGAAAATGTTCGTTGGCAGCAACTAGCTATTGTGGAGGCACAAGAAACTGGTTGCAATTGCCTGAATTTCATGGGATTTCCAGTTGCCGTTCGCCAAGGAAAGATGCAGACATCTGGTTATTGTTTATATTCATCCACAGTTGATAGTTAATGTATTTGGGACCCAATGAATAACGGAGTCTTGTATTCACCCGAGACGGGAAAAGATTTAAGGGACCTAAAGCCAGAAAACTTTTGTGGGGTTGATCTGTACTTTGGGTTTCTGATACGTTACGTCAAGGCTTCAAAGGCATATCTAAGTCAATCCACAAGGACTCCGTAGTTGTCGATTTCGGCTGTCATCCTGCTGATGATGCTTCAACTCCAAGGTTAAACCAGGATTCTTTAAGGATGGGGCTAGGCCACACTGGGCCAAGAATAGGAACCTGGTTCTTCAATGTGCAAAGTAAGTATCCAAACTATAACAAGTCCCTTGCAGCAAGGAAGCAATTGGACCCACGAAACATGTTCTCCAGCAAATGGCCAGACCAGGTATTATTCGGAAAAGAAGCTGTTATAAGTGATGGATGTGCCTTAGAAAAGGCTGTGCATATGCTCGGAAGACAGACATTGCAGTCCAAACAAAGGGTACTTTTGCAAGACAGGTTTTGTTTACAATGAAGCAAGGGTAGGTAGATATTCACCATCCTCCATGGTACTGTAATAACAATGCAATAAACCTGTTGTGTTATCTAATTCCGAAGTGAAAACGGTGTGGGTTTTGAACCTTAATTTAATTGAAGGTCATCGGTTCTTTGCACTAATTTTCTTAAGATTTAGGTTGGGCAAAGATGTTTATTATTATAGCACATAATTATCAGAAACATGCCACAATATATAGTATCCAAGTAATTTGTTCCAAATCTTACCTAATCTATGATTGTTTCTTAGCTTAATGTAATAATCTTGATATTTTCACTTTTCAACCTCAAACAACGAATTGATCATAATATAATCTAACAATCTTAAATTGAGTATAGTGAAATGATAATATATATATATATATATATATAAAGTTCATCTTGTGAGAATTATTATGATTTCTATTTAATATATTTTTAATAATCACATTTAAATTTGATTCATAACGAAATTCAATTTAAATAAATAAACAAACATTTTATATAGATTCGAATTGAAATATATGTATATGTAATAAAAATAATTTAGTACTAATGGTTAAGTTAATTAAGCCAAAACTAGGATAAATTGGAAACATGGGTTGCAAGATATATTGGATTAACTCATTGATCACTATATAATCAAGTAATTAATCTGCACAAATTAATGTGAGAACTTAATTAATTATATAATCAAGGAAATCTTAAATAGGTCTACTCCTAGGCTTGTGATTAAAGAAATAAATTAACCAAAGGAGAAAATTACTACTCTAAATCCCCCTAATTAAGGCTTAAAAGAAAAAAACTATACATTTGCATTGCTATTTCCATGCAATTTCTGTTTACATCTTTTGTTCTTTTACACTTTCAAAATGAAATCATCAGTCGTTCATTGTTTTGGTTGTCAGTTTATGAGGAAATCTGCAGCAGAATCAAGAGCCAGCTGACTAGATATGGGGTGCTCATGCAGAGACGGCCAACAGTTATATGTACTCCAATCAAAGGGTCATTCCTTACAGCAACAAGAGCTAGCTCTGCCGTCGCTGCATTCTTCAACAACTTCCTTCAGCTTACTTTTTGGCGACCTGACTCACCAGCGATATGCCCTTTAAACCTAGCTAGCTAGGCCAGCGTTCATGCTGCTGACTAGTGACGTAATCATATATGTATATATACATATATATATATATATATATATTGATATTGTATGCATTTACAGCTAGAAGGGCAGAAGGATAGACTAGTGGCAATTCAGTGGGAATGTTGCATGGAAGAGGCGAACGCGTGATGATCCTCAAGAAACCTCAAGCTATGGATTAGGCGTATGTACAGCTACAGTTGAGTTTTTTCAACATTTTGGCTTGCGACCTGAATGGCTGATGAAATCTGGTCTAGAAAAGGAGAAGTAATGGCGTAGGTAGGGTTCATGACGTGGCTGCTCAAAGTGTTACTTCTGCTTTGTAGTTCTGGGTATAGGTTACATAGACCTGCCCATTTGGCTTCAAGCAAAGCTCAAAAGATTCATGCAGTGTTGAAGGGATGAGCCAGATGAGCCCACGAGTGAGCTGAATTATTAGTCATTTCGACTTTTTGGGTGTTGTTTCTTGCTTTGGTGTTCACAGCAGAATAAATAAATAAATAAATAAATATATATATATATATATATATAGAGAGAGAGAGAGAGAGAGAGAGAGAGAGATAATAGAGCCAGTCAAGCCCGGATAACAATAATATCTTGGCCAACCATGTAATTGTACATACTACTCCACTTAATCAAATTCTATATTTAAGGGGCAATCAAATACATATAGTAACAATGGAAAGCATGATAAAGTTGATCTGATGATAAGATCAAAAGGGATGGGAAAGCCCCACAAGTACGTGTCATTCTTCATAGCGGCAAACAAGCTGATTTGATGTCCATGAACCATGAAAATGAATATATATTGATATATATCAGTTGTCTCAAATACTGTTCACCTTTATCTGATATTTTTAGCTCATTTAGACTAGTAGATGTACTAGTGCCCTCCTTTTTGGTTAATCTTCACCCCAACCGTTATTTTAGCAAGTTAATTGCTGGCTAAACTTGGTTAACTTAGAACATATTAGAGCAATTGGCAAGGAAAGGTATCTTCCTCATTCAATGCTGTTACAGTAATTAATTCACAATACTTTCAAATGGTAACTAAGGGATGAAGCAGGCTTAGTTTAAGCCAACAGACTGAGGATTAAGTTCTGGTTTTTAGTTTCTGCACACTGGTATGGTTAAGGCATCATAATCGTACAATATAAATCCACCAGTGAAATGTCCTATCCACCCCTTACATTTCTAACCCCATCCTCAGGCCAGGTGTGTCCCCAAGATAAGACCTGTAGCTCATTTTTGTAGATTGTATAACGTATAGATACAGATTATTCTGAGACTTGTCTCAATCACTGTTTGAAGCGATGATAAAGAATGATAGGGTGCCAGTTTAGGTTTTTTAATTGGCCACTTCTCACGCTAGAAAGGATACTCCACAATTTTGGAACTATGCCCTTTTCACTTTGATAACCTTCAGGATTTTGCCTCTACTTAAATCTTAAAGCTTTTGTCCATTGGTTATCATAACAAGAATCATATTAGACATACACTCTAGCATATACCCCTCTGAATGTCCATGAAAGTTGACTTCTCCAGTTTAGTTATCAACAGGGAACAACAACCAACAAAACTAATTTAACAGGAGTGGAAATTTCTGCTTTCAGTAACTTGGTAAGTATCCCAATAGGATTCAAAGTTACCATCTCTCTCTCTCTCTCTCTCTTCAAATATTAGAGCCATAAATTACAACTGAATAATCACTAACAGTACTGATATTCCTCTAGTGCTCTCCAGATTCATGCTTCAGATCATATGCAACTAATTGGTGTTCTCTGTTTCCAATCCCACTAGCTGCTCAGGGAAGGAGCATAGACCAAATTATTTAACTAACACACAAGCCCTTCTGAGTATTAAAGGGCAGTATTTAGAATTTACAAACCCTTGTCCAGCAGAACACTGGCATACAACATCGCAAAGTTCAGTTGGTACATAAGGGTGGTGGTGCAGGATCGAGGCATAAGCAAATATTTACAGGCCTTACCTTGCACCTAGCAATTTTTTTCATGTTCTCTTGGAAATGGAAAAATGCCGGTGCAAATGGAACAATATTAGTTCGAGAATAAAAAATCAACTTGTGTGACTGGTTTGATGTCTGACACTTCATAAAGCTTTTAAGCTTTTCGTTTTTTGCAGCAGCCAGGTAGGTACTTCAGATTTTGCCTGCTGAAAATTAAACAAGTCAAACACTGATTGAAGAACTCAAGAAAAGGAAGTGCAATAACAGGGTGTTTGGAAGAGATTAATTTGAATCCATAACAAAGATGAAAGAGGTTCTGAGATGCAACCAGCATATATAACGATAACAGTTTCATGAAGTTCGATTTCGTGATTGCTCTTTTCTACCAGCCAGCTTCCTCTGACGCTTGTGCCCAACCAATTTTATTAAGCCAGATGAGGGAGCTTCCCTTCCAAATTTCAGGTCTTCACCTCCAATCATGTACATGTTTCCTGCTTCAGGCACAGTAAAATCAGCAGGGTTTCTGTTAATGCTGCAGATTTCATTCTCTGAACCACTTTTGGGATGGAAAAGAGTGGCACTCATAGTATGAGCCTCCTGTTTGTGTTTTGTTGCACTCTCCATTGCATGAAACTGTAGAGGAGGCATCATAAAATCTGAAGTGCCAAGCACCATTTTTGGCATACTATGTACAGGAATAGATCCACAAGTTATGTTCAAGCCACTACTTAAAGATGCGGGTTTTTGTGATCGGCGGTTTCTATTCTGTCGTTGTGAGTCTGAGAATTTTTTCTTCTCTTTCTCTCTAGACTTCAGTGAAAATTGACCTGTAAAATCAGTTGCCTTCTTGAACCTTTTATCATGTTGGAATGAAGTAGAAGGACCGACTGTTGGAGTGGCTGACATACATTCACAGAAACTCTCAGGCAGGTGGTTTTTACCATAACAATCGTACGATGGATGTTTCATTGAATTGGTCCTATGTCCCCCAGATGGCAGACCTGCAAACTCTTTAGAGTGATGACCATGAACAAAGGAAGTTTTCTTAACGCACCTTTGGTTTCCATCCACATCAACTGGTGCCCCTGACGGTAACCCTGCATCCATAAGGCTGAGTAAATGCATGGCTGGTATGGTTTCATTAGAATACAGATCTAATGACCCCATCCCATTATGTTTGCAAGCAAATGGGTAATCTGCATGAGTCCTTCGAAGGACTTCAGGATCAAACTTCCTACTATGCTTTTCAAAGTTTGAAGCCAGATTTAAGAAGTTCCTGTCATCATTTCCATTCATATTTCCCTTAGGCAGATTGCTGGGGCAATGAGAAAGCACATCTACATTTGCCACCTGATTTGCACACTTCTGAGGCATGCCGTATAGATAGGACATGTTATTTGTTATCACAGATGGCCATAAATGAGCTACTTCTTTATTCTGTTGTGGAGCACTCTGGCATGTGTTACAAACTCCCAATGTCTGCATGCTAGCGTGGGAGGACCTCTGCCCAACCATGTTCCCAATCCACTGGCAATTTTGAGCACTGTTTTGCCTGCTGGAATTCGTGGCAGAAAATTGGATTCCATTCAATGGCTTCTCTCCACACAGAGGAAAAGGCCTAAAGCCTGCAGGGGAATAACTTTGTTCCAATTGGCTCATATTGTACTGGTTTCGGTCCAGATGAGAGAAATAATCAACTGATTTTTGTCTGCTGGATCCCACATTATCACCTCTTAAAATTTTGCCAATTCTTCCATTTTTAGCTCGAGGTTTTGGTTTTTGAGTGGTCTCATGAAACAGGCTCATTTTTTCATTTCCAAATACTTTATTATGATCCACCCTCTGATGATTTCTGGTGTTATTGGTTGTTTCTGATAGCTGATTATCAATTTCAGTATCAGGACGACACCTCTCGAACTGATTCTTTGCCATGAGTTCAACAATTTCCATGGGGATGTCATCTAAAACTCCCTGCTCAGATGACATTTCAGCTCGTTGATCATACTGTTTCCTAGCAGCTGCTGAATGTTCCTGAATCTCCACTGTTTTGCCATTGTTTCTTGTACCACTGTAATCCTGAAAAAGGAACAGATAAAAAGGGAAAAACATCTCCTCTCAATTTCACAGAAATAAAAAAATGGAAAAAAAGAAGAAGATGCGTTGACTAGCTGAATTAATCCTAATTACTCAGGAAACAGAGGGAAACATCTGCCATAAAGGTCAACTATGTTTTCAGGAAAATGTTTAACCCACTCACGACAGTGAAATTCACATGATTGATTATGCTAATTAATGCTACATGTATATGCCATTTTCAAAATGATGAATGAGAATGCTAGCATCTAAGTTTGCAGATATAAGATGGCATGAGCTTAAATCAGAACCACAATAGTCAAAAGTGTCTAAAAATGTTCCAAGAGAAATTTATTTTTTGGTTTATGGAAGCAGAAGTTGTTCCAAGGTCTAACCAAGATAGGGAAAGATTTGATACTTAATCTTTGCAGATACTATCTAATGGAACACTCAAGGCTGGAATAAGCAAAAGACAATAGCTTCACTTTTCCATAAAAATAAGCATGAAAGTCATAGCAGAGTTCTCAATTATGTCAACCTGTTTTCTCCAAAGGAAAAAGAAGAAGAAGATATATATACCTTTTTACTGATTCTTATATGTCCTACAGAATCCCAGCATCAAGGCAATAGTGTCTTAACTGTGTTTGATATAACAGCTTACCTTCTGATTCAATTATTAAAAACTAAAGATTTATAAGTGATTGTTGAAAAGGGAATGTTGCTGGCTCAAAAGCCAGAACAATTTAATCTGAATGTTCCAGAAATTTTACTCTGAACGTTAATCATAACTTGAATAATTCATGTATACCTAAACTGACTGTAAAAACATCTTATCTACAGAGGAAGAAAACCAAAATTTGGGGAAAAGATCACAAAAATTGTCCTGCCACAAATCTAGCGCATTCTTTTTTTCTTTTTAAATGATAGTTCGATAGCTGGAGTAACAAAAGAAAAGTTCATACCATTTGCTGAATCAGTGAACAACTCCTAACTTCAGCAGGAGAGCTGTGCTTTTGCTTGTCATTCAGGAATGGAATTCTGTACATAGTTCGGTTAGTATTGAGGTCAACATGCATTTCCTTCCAAAGATAGGCATCTAGTTCAGATTTAGATGGGAAACTAGAGTCTCCAACATAGTCCAGCTTTGGATCTTTCCTCCCAATCTCATCTTCACTGAGAACACCCCCTTGCCAAGGTAATATCGATGGTAGCCCATCTCTGATTGGAGTAATATATTTTCCATCACATCTTTTAGCAGGCAAGCAACTATTAAGAGAAAATTGAAGTCCTTTTTCAGCTGACGCATCGTGGTTTACTTTCAGTGGAACAGCAATTGACCCTATTTGTCTTATTTCTACATCTTTCCTTGAAGTCAGACCATCTCTGAAAATGCCATTGTTCCAAGGAATCGGAGAAGCATGCCCACCATGATCTTGATGCATCTTGCTCTTTTTCTTCGATAAACTAGATTTTTTCTCTGCCTTTTGGGCAGATTCAGGGAAGGGATCCAACCCACTGCCTGTAGATATAGCATTTGATTTGTACAGAACAATATCAGTTGCATTGCTCTTACTGGCATCTCCAGGCTTTTTCTGTCTTTCTTTCTGCAGATTTTCTCGAGACAGACTCAAAGACAAGCATTCATCAAAATTCTGGGGCATTTTGTTTTTCTTCTTTCCTAAAATAGGACTTCTATCAACTTTAAGGTTAACCAAATGGCTCTTTGCACCAGTTTGTGAGCCACCTCCATTAACTGTACCTTCAGAATCAGAACTAGCAATTCCATTGGCAGTTTCAGTGCCTCTGTTGAAGGTCCTAAGGTTTTTATGCCCGTTATTGGGAGAGCTCAGTTCCCCAGGTCTCCATTCTTCATCCTGAGGCAACTTTCTTCTCCTACTATGACCCAAACTGCTTGTAACATTTCCTTGCAAACTGGCCTGACCTTGGGGAGCAGATATTGAATCTAGAGCAATAGATGCATCAGGAATGGCATTGGAAGGAGAATCTTCTGTACTCATGAAATCAGTTTTTTCATCACCATTTTTACCCAACAATTCAGTCAGCAGGCGCACCTTACGGGTTTTTCTGCGATGCAGGCTGCCAGATGTAGTTCCAAGCAATACCTCGGCACTTTCTGATGATGCATAATCACAATCATCTAATTCCAAGGAAGGATGTTCGGCTCTATGAGTCTTGGTAGCATCATGAACCCTATTAACCATACTGGTTATCCCAAAGGATCCACAAACTTTCACTAACTCCATCTGCTGATCGCAAACAGAAGCATGTTTTCCTGTTTGATGTGTTTCAGTGGCATCCTTAACTGTGCACTTCAGTTTTGAATCAGGAAGCTTGACACCAGATATTTCATTGTCTTTTAAATCAGGCTTTTGATGTTGCATAGAAGCCACTGTTGCAGAAATCAGAAGCATTGTTATTGCAACCACTACAGTTCTAAATTCAGTTGCAAAGCAGAAAACTGTTAAGCTTTTTTAACTGGTCTTTTATTCATAGTAGACATACCTTTATCATCTATATGAAGTGTTTGTTGCATAAGGCTAGCAATCACTTCTATTCCAGCATAATTTGAAATATGGTTTTCCTTATTAATGTTATTTTCTAAGACATCTGTTTGCCCTGGAAAAAGCACCAAAAAAATTAATGCTCTAATGTAGTGGTAATCACATCAGAATAGATTGAGCTAGGGTATAGAAATATACCAATTATTGGTAAATTAGCAATTTCAGCTTTCTTTTCACTTTTATCACTAAATAAAGGATGACAGTCACTGGTCTTGACATTCACACAAGCATTAGCATCATGTTGTATTGATTCAGCATTAATCTTTGCAGCCTGCTGCAAATCTGATAACCACATTGCAGTATCACCATGGGATGACACATGGGGGCAAGTGCCAAAGGATTTCAATTCGCTACCATTATTAGCAACAGCTCTTTCTTCATTTACACTTTCTTCAGGCCCAATTTCCTGCAGACAGGTTTGGCAACACCACCATCTGAACTTCGGAGCAAGTAAAGGAGGAAGCTTACAGTTTTGTTCTTCAGATATTTTCTGACCACCATCTAAAGCAAATGGCCAACATTTCTTCCAGTCTTTTTTACGCATCTCAGATGCATATCCACTGCATTTAAAACAAAGAGAACCTATGAAGAAGGCTTTCCAACATGAACATTGTTGTACTCCATAACAAGTTAGGGAATTAGTGCTCAGAGAACTATCTCTTAAGCCATTGATACATATCAAATCTTGCAATAAATCCCCTCAATATCTAACTTGCATCGCTTTAAACGCCATTTCATAAAATAGCAATTTAGTATCCGCTCCTACTTCTTGGAGATATGGTCCTAGCTGCCACTAGGTTAGTCCCATATTCATTCCATCTTATGCTAATAAAGAATAAAATACTTACTAGTTAAATAAAAAGAAGCTACAAAACATTCTGGTCCTATATTCTCAAGATTATAGTATCTATAAAAATGGGAAAAAGAAAAACTCATGTACGCACACAAACAAGTAAGTGATGAAGTTTGTGAGGAAGCATAAACAACAGAAAAAGAAGTTAATTCATTTCAATAATTTAGAAGTCATTTGTTTATAATAATGGAGTGAGCCAATATGGATACAGTACCCTCATTCGTCAAAGTTTCCGCTGAAGAAAGACATCTCTCACAAATACATACTTCATGTAGCCCCATCACTCAAACAGAAACCATACCAGACACTTATTTTCAAACACAATGGTAACACAGAAACGATGAGGAAGTTAAAAAAAAATTTAGAAGACGGAATAATAAGGATCATGGCTTACCGAATAGAAAAATGCTCACACTTCCCAGTATCAATGTCATCATTAGCATCAATGAGATCTATAGATATTGAGTCAATCTTTATCGGTGATTCCACAGACTTGGCAACAATATTAGAACTGCTGCTCTGACGAATGTCCTCGACCACAATAGTTCTCTCCATGTTATGAGTAACTAATTCACACCACCAATGTGCAAAAGTAAGATACCCTATGTGCATAGAATAATAACATGTAGTAACATTGTAACTATGTCCATATGCTATGTGATCAATATGCATGAAGCTCTAAGACATCAAGTAGATCACAAGAACTCAAGCACAGGACCAAAAAACCATGTTAGGGTTATTCATAATTCCAAGGAAATTCATAATGAAAACAACATAGTCATAGTAAAATAGATACACAAAACAGATGAGAAGCTGGAAAGCCCTTATATATGGTGATTTATTACATAAAATAATAACCTATAGCAGTAGACAAGTAAATACTATTGAAAGGGAACAAAATTGGAAACCCTAATTCCAATGAAATCAAACATAAAGATGTTTGCAGTTACTGCATTAATGTTTTAATAAAATCCTAATAAATTACATAGCAAAGCCCATCCATTTATGATACAAAGTAAATCTTGAAATAACGCGGATACGATAAACAACATGTTAGGGTTTTATCAGAAAATAAGAACTAAGAAAGTTCGCGACGAGAAGAATAGTTTTGTTAATCTCCCCTATACCAAAGAAATAATCCACCTTAAAACTCACCTCCAAAACCTTCGAGTTAGATGGTAAGATAATCCACATCCATCCACAAAATGAAATTTTTTCTAGGGTTTCGTCATTTCCAAATTCACAAGCCAGTGACCAGTGAAAACCATTGCTAACACCAGAAAACCCATCAAAAGCAACACAAAATATCCACAAAAGCGAAGAGATTACCTCAAAAAGCAAAACCCAGATGCCAAAATGTTAACAAAAGACTAAACTTAACGTACTAAACACAGTAAACTAACCCCAAATAACTGAAACAAACAAGCTCCAGCTGAGTTTAAACTGATATTAATCAAAACAAAACCAATTTAAAACAAACGAAAAAACCCCAGAGCTTTAAATTGTAATTAGATTAGAAAAAAAAATACCTTTATTTCACTCAGCTATCAGCTAAGACAATCTAAAACCAACCCAGCCTGGATTCTTCACGGCCAGTAGAGAAAATGGTATCAAAACAAAGAACATTGAGCGACCAAGAAGAATATACAATCATTTTGAAGAGATCTGCAGCTTGTTGCTTAGAATTTGAGTGCGAAGTTTGGAGAAACCCTAGCTTAACAAGGAGAGTTTTTTCGATTCTTTTAGAGAGAGAGAGAGAGGAGTAGACAGCAAAAGAGTTTTTATCTTTTGTCCTTGAAAGAAGGGTCTTTGTTGTTGTATTAAAATCCTCTGTTAAAAAAGAAAAAATATATTTTAAAAAAAGAAATGAGGAAGAAAGGACATGGCCATGCCATGTCATGAACACTCAACCGTGCATCCATGTGTAGAGAGAGACGAAGAGAAGAAAGTCAAGAGAGAGAAAACCGATGTGGGGGACAAGAACCAATGGTTTTTGCCCACGTGGAAGGATGGTGCGGTTCTTATCACAATCCATTATGGGTGTTGTGTGTTAAAGGAAAACCCTAGAGCCAACAGTGGAAAGCAGTATTCCCACGCGTTGTTTTCACGCTCCTGTTCCCCCACCCCCGCATCAAATTTTATTAGTCCTTGTCGTATCATGTGGTCTCATAGATGCTTTCGCACGTTAACAACCTTCGATTGGAGCGTATGATGAACTCTCCAAGGTAGCGCGTGGATTTTGTTTGACATGAAACCCTAAAGCTAACCTTTTTATTTTTTCCTTTGAGAATATATAAATGTAATGTGTAACCCTAGCTCTAGCCCATTTTCTTCGATAAATATCTAACCCTAACCCTGGCCTAGTAAATTAGTTGGTAAATTGAAGGGGGACGGTGAGGGCGTGGATCACATACTATTGGGAATTGGGGGCTTCCAATCATGGAAATATCACTTCTTTTTATTTTTCTTTATATTTATCGTCTGAGGGCATCTTTTGCTTTTATTCCACCCTTGACTGTCACCCCACCTTTCACCTAAATCGTATGCTTTTAAATTAAATTACAATCTCCTCATAATAAATTCTTTCATTATCTATACATATAAGCAGATAATGCTTCAATTCCAAATGATGGATTCTTTACTTGTGGAATAGGGAAAACTTGAATCAAGTAATAAAAATATAACAAGGGAGAGAAGTTTTATCCTATTGAGTAGGTTGGGGTTTAAGGTAGTGAAGAAAAACCAAAAAGAAAAGAAAAAAGAAAAACACCCTATGCAATGTAAGTGAAACAGAAGATGACTTTTGTTAATTAAGTATTAGGTGTTGGGTGAGGTAAAAAAAAGTTGGGATCCTTTACTTATGGATTAAGTATAAAATTGAATTAAGGATTTTCAAGTTAAAAAGAGATCATGAAATCCATTTATGTCCAAATATGTATGATATTCTCCCCATTCTAATTGCATGACAATTGATTTATCGAATTATGATTGATTTTCGTTACAAAAATTTTAATTATGTTCTAATTTTTGTTATCAATAAATTCTTATATATTATCAAATTCCCTATTCCCTTTTGACAAACTTTTCATTTATAATCCCAATATTAAGAAGATATATGTAGAGTCATGGTTTAGATAGTTCAATCGTGTGTGGTACTGTTAGCACATGTTCCCAACTAAAAAGAGTAATTAGGCTACAAAAAAGAAGCCATGCATGACATGGATCGACAAAATCATGTCAGCCATATGTTTCCTGGTTCCAGCAACAAAACAATGACTACAACTCACTTTCTGGGTCGAAAGAACAAAGAAAAAATATCAGGGCCGGCATCAATTGTTTTCGACTAGTAATGAATGGTTCTAGACATGGGTTTTGCCAACTTTAATTTATTGTTGTAAATATATGTAATAGGGACTCTTTTTATAATCGTGTACTAGGAATTAAGACAAAATAATGGAACAAGATTTAAGTGGCATGGTTGGTGTGGCTAAGGTGGATCCAGAACAGTACCATTTCTTCATAGGAGCTTGGGTTTTTTTTTTTTTTTCTCTTTTCTTGTTTCAGTTTTCTAGCTCGGGATCCAGGGTCTGTGAACCCATTGATATTTGTGTTGAATTTGGCAAAAATATGTCATAGATCTTGAGGATTTGTTGGGTCTAAATGGCTGAAAGGGATACATCATCCTTCTTGTGGAGAGGGCCCTCCTTATAATGTTCTGCCATCATAGGCACAGACCCAACACACATCCAATTGAAAAAAAAAAAAAGGAACAAGAAAAATATTTGTTTCCAAGAGAAGTGTTTTCTCTTAGATGACCTAAGTTCCCCAAGCTGCCTGTTTTCCTGAAACTTCTCAAACGGATCATGGCTGCAGTTACCGCACAAACATAAAGTTGTGTGAAAACTTTAAAAATGACTTGGAATATTATACGTGCAAAGCTCAAATGAGGGTAAATTAACCCATTTGGTGTAGGGTATAGCAGTTAGATATTTCGGGCCAATTAATCAAGCAGCAATATTTCACTTAATTTGTCTGGGATATCTCTGATTTTCTGGCTCAGATAGTTTCTCAGAAATATCTCACCTGAGATTTTGGGTAAAGAAAGCATAAACTATTCGACCAAACTTGTTGAATCAATGTTGTAAATGCCATAAACCTTCCCCTCCTTTGCCTTTTGCTACCCAAACCTGCAGAAAAAATTGCTGTTTTTGATTTGTCCTAGTTGATCTGTTGTTCTCTATTTACTTCAATTTGCAGAACATGGAGTGGTTTTGCTATATGTATAATCTGGGTAAGAGCCAGCTAATGCATAAAGGGAAAGGGGTATGTCATCAATCATGAACCTCTTTATGCTGGAAATGGTTCAGGGGCTTTATATATCTGAAACCCTTTGGGGCAAAAACCCAAAAGAGCTTTTTGAGTTTGTTTCTCTGACATAAAAACAAAACCAGTTCAAAGTTGAAACAGATCTTCAAAAAAACCCAAGTACATATACATGGTTGGGTGCTACATATTCAGATGAATCTACTCATTTCCCTACCAGATCTCTTGTATATACTTTTCGTCTCGTTATGCCTAATGTACTGTGGCTTATAATATCTCCTTATTGTACTTTTAATTTAGCTAGAACCCGAGTTTCCCATAGCTTTTTGACAAGTCCCGTAAGTTTGTCTTCTTTAAGTCATGCATGCGTCCATGCTTTTATTACTATATATCAGTACATATGCATCCCATTCATGGATATTTTCTTCGGCAGTTTTCTTTCTACTAACTTTCCTTTTTAGGTTAATTATAATCAGTAGCGTTTGATTGTCATATAAATAAATAATCCTTAACCCTTCTTATGATCTTAATTAAAATTTCAATTTTATTTTTCAAACTACAAATCATATACAAATAATTAAATTAAATGCTCGTATACTTCTTATGATCATAATTAAAATATTAAAAACAAACTTTACTTATCTCAAAAATTAATTAAATACTCACACAAAAGGTGGCATAACTTGGCTTTACTTATTCCCAAAAATTAATTAAGAACATAGAGCAAGAAAGATTCCAAAATTAAATATAATTATATGGGAAAGAAGTTGTTTAGGCAAAGAAAAAAAAAAATTACTGGGCATAGATTTTACCGAACAGGAAGGTAGTCGATGATCACATGGCTACACTGTTGCATACACAAAGAAAGCCTGCTATGGGGGTGGGGGAACGATTTGATTGTGATCAGATAGCTGCTAGATTGATTCAGCAGATTTTAATCCCTTCCCTTCCCTTCCCTTCCCTGTCCAAACTATCACCACAGAGGTCTACCATAGACATGCATGCCGGACATTTGTAGTTGCATGCAGCGTGATTTCGGCTCCAGCTAACCTCTAGTGATTGAGAGTGGATAAGAATTCATCTCTCCAAAAGCACAAGTACCCCAAGATTTGTTTGTTTTTTTCTTCTTTTTTTTTGTGGTCTAAAAATTTTTATATTAATAATATCTTTTCCTTTTAATAAAAACCAAACCAGGACTTTGCACTTTTAGATTTCAGGATGTAATGATGAAGATCCTGGGCCATGTTAGATTCCTGAGACTATGTCCCACGTATGATGTATACATGGATAGGGTTTATCTATATATAGTTCATCTTCTTTTGTCTGGATTCAATCTTGGAAGATAAATATGCACTTTGGGCATTAAAATGTTTGGAAATACTAAATTAGTTCCTTGTTCTTTATAGGATGGGTAACAAATTAAATGATTATATTTTCATTAAAATGATAACTATATTACTATTAATTAAATTAGATGTTTAAAAGAGATTTTTGTATTGATATGTTAAGATAAGATGACTCATGTCCATTCCAATTTTTTATTTTATAATCAAAAGATTAAATACTTTATCGATATCTTTGTGAATCCGAATTAATGATGAATACAAATGTAAATATTGTTCAACAAAAATTTAAATATAAATCATGGTTACTAAACTAAATCTTTTTATCTAGGTTGTATAAAAGAAATTAAATCATACAACTACATGAATTGAGAAAAGTATATCAAATATTTAGTAATTCGATAAAAATGTTAACTTCTATAAGGTTGGGTGATTAAATTAACATTTTTATGTTATGGGATCAACAAATCCTTGCACCCCCACTAACTTAATCATAGGTTACATTACCTTGTGATATCATAATCATTAAATTTCTTGAATTTTTTAATTTCCTCCATTTTTGTTTTCTTTTGACATTTTCTTGTTTTTACTGACTGTAAAGTGATGTACATTTATTTCACTTTCATTATTCTCCCAAGGGGGTGTTGTCATGGTAGGTGAGGTCTTTAAAATAATTAACCAACTGCATATACAAGCAAATGGCGTTTGCCATTGGCGGATTGAGGAGAGAACAGGTGAATATTGAAAGAGGAAATTATGAAAACGATTCTTGCAAGTGAGAATCCCATTATGGCTTCGTTCGACCACCAGTGTTGCTGTCAATCTTAATTAATATATATGTTGTGGAGTAGTTGTTTTAAGTCTTTGTGGTCCTCCCAATGGTAGCAAATTCGAGTTATAATATATATAATTACTTTTTATTTCATGCATTAATAAAAATGCACAACCATTCGAAATAAATAAAATTTTTTATTAAGTCGATCAATGATACATTACTACGATATATAGTCATAATCATCGTCGAGAGGATCGGACACAATCAATCAAACACACGTATCAATCTCTTAAAAATAACAAGAATTAATAATTTCATTCAAGTTTATTAAATTTATCGTTTTGTAAAAAAAACATTTATGATTATTAGCTTAATTTATACATTAATGGAACTCTTTGAACAAGTTAGAAGTATTTGCATTAGGAGATACGCGTGGTTGGGAGAGAAATACTTTGTCGGTAG